AAAAATGTCTTGATCTTGTAGAATGAAAATGAGACTCCGTATTCAACAGATGAAAGTGAAAAATCTTCCCAGTCACCTCAAAACAAAAGCAACTGCACGAAAACGAGATACTCCCCTCAAAACCTACGTTTTCCCACTCCACCAGCAGCCCCAGGCCTGGGAAGGGTAAGTTCAGCCTTATCAGAAATAGTTAATACACTTCTGTTAAACCTAGCATTATTATAAATTCTGAGACAGTAGCATGATATTTGTCATGTGTTGCCTGATCTAATTGAGAGGCGTCCCTGCCCATGACAGGGAGGTTAGACTAGATGATCTTAACGGTCCCTTCCAGCCCAGGCCATTCTATGAGTCTGTGATTGTCTAGAAAACAGCATTTTTTTGAGAATGGATGTACAGATGCGTGTGTTACAGCCTGTCGCTGTGTCATTTTACAATAGTCTGGCCACCGTGTAGCCTGCTGGCCATGCTGCTGCCTAGTGAGGAAAGCCTTGTCCCCAGCTGACACTTGATTTGCAATTGCCTTCTAACTTGAAAGAGGGATGTTTTTCTCTGGGCTGTGGTAGTGCTGTTAATGATAGCGCTGTTTATGTTTGAAGATTGCACTTTTTCTAGCCAGTTCATATGTTGAAGGGAGCAAAAGCGATGTCCAGATGTCAGAGAAGCTCTCAGCCACAGCTTCTCTATTGCATTGTGAGGGCTGGGGTCGTGATAGGCTTTTCCTGTTGTGTAGGAGTCTAAATGACAATGCGGTTGAATGCAGCAGTATTTTTTCTAAGTTTTTGTGTTTGATTTCTTTATAAGGTTTTATATTTTTTTCCTTTCATATGAATGAACTTGTATCTAGGTTCATTTTAAAGATGTTCACAAGCATAATGGAATTTAGTCAGGATGTGCCCCCAGCTGTGCAGGAGCAGAGGAATTGTCTGCTTGTAAGCAGCGTGACGTGTTTTCATCATGTGAGAGAGTAACCACTGACTTTTTAGGAAAAAAACTTACTAAAATGCTTGTATTGACTAGAACTGTGTTTCAGAGTTCTGTTTACCCTAGTCATATGTGTCATGTAAGTTTTACTTTTCCAGTCATGGAATGCTCCACAGAAATAGCTGCTGTGTGTTGTTACTGCAGTTTCATTAGGTTGCTGGGATGCATTGTCTTCCAAGTATGGAATTGCTTCAGATAATGCTCTTAAATAAAGTCCTGTTGCCTGAAAATTCTTTTAAATTTGCACTATTCAAATTTTTTAATGTAGCCTGGATCGAAATTTAGGACACCTCCATCGTTGCTGTCTTGCTGGCCTCCACCCTTCCCAGCAGGACCACCGGTAAGTGACAAGGAGGAAGAGGAAGAAAGTGTCAGGTACCACTATGGGTGACCTGCTCTCGTTAAAGATGTCCCTGCTCACTGCAGGAGGGTCAGACTGGGTGGCTTCTAAAGGTCTCTTCCAGCCCAACGCATTCTATGACTTCAGGTTTTCTAACTAAATTTGCTCACCACCTGTGGTGGGCAAATGTGGTTCTGTGTTAGGATCTGTATTTTCCAGGCATTTCATAAGGTGTTCAGTTACAAATATTAGAAGAATCTAATGCACAAGATCTGGTCTGCACTCATGTTCATTTCAGCGAAGCTATTGATAAGAGGATCAAGAGAAAGTTAATCTGAAGAAGTTACATATTAGATTTGATTAACAGCATTTTGCTGATGCATATAAATATTTTCCCCCAGTAGAACTTTGTGTGTGCAGTCGGGCTACAGGAATCTTGTTTCTCCCAGGCTTTGGAAATTACATTTTCAGAAAATACCATCTTATTTGACTCTCTTGGAGAACGTGTTCTGATTTTTCAGTTTTTATATTCTGATCTTTTAGAATGGGTTGCTATCTAATGTGGGATATAACCTGTTGAAACACAGAAATTTCCTTTGTGACTTCTTAGCTGATTCCCCCTCCACCACCTATGATGCCAGACTCTCCTGAGGATGATGAAGCTTTGGGAAGCATGTTGATAGCCTGGTACATGAGCGGTTACCACACTGGGTACTACCTGGTACGTGCCACCTTTGTCTTTGAAGCGTCTTTGTAATTTTGCTTTTCTGTTGCTGCTGCTGTTTTCAGCAAGAAGTTAGACAGGGAGGGCTGCTTTTTAGATCTCTTATTCTAATGTAGCTAGATTTAACGGTGTTTTGTATTGTATGAGTATTCTTGTCCTTAAATGGGAGTCACATGAGCCAGCATGTGTGTGTAGTTGATGTTGTCTTAGTTCCTGTTCCACTGGAAGGATCCCCTGAGGTACTTTTACAGCCATTCTGAATCAGCGGGTTCTGTCTTGAGCACAGGTGGAGTAAATCTGAATATGTTTATTATTCAGGAGTCTGCTATGTATTTTGTTTGAGTATGAGCGGTCGTATCACATTTAGGACCAGATTTTTTCAGACTGTTTTATCAGTAATTGTTTCAAGTGATTGTGTCCAGCAGGAGCTGTCAGCACAGTTGTATAAAAATCTGTGACGTGGTGTCCTGATTTCTACTTTCCTTTGTACACTTACGAAGAAAGAAAACTACAAGAGGAATTAAACTCTTTGCATTAGGGAAGTTGGAAAGGGGAGATTTGGTGATATAGAGTATCTTCAACAGGCTAGTTTGGGAATTTCTTGCTTCAGATTATATGTGACTGGATAGTTTTAACTGAACAAGAAATATGTATTTGAAATTATTCTGTTGAGCCATTGACTATAAAGAAGGCATGCATTTTGACTTTTGTCCTTTTTCAACCACTCATTCTGATTTCCCCAGTTATAAGCTATTCTTAATTTGTAAAGGGCTGAAAACAAATGTCCAAAAATGGTTTTGTTCTGCAACTAAAACTGTTGTTTCCATGTTAGTAAAACCAAAACTTTACTAAATTGTATCCCGTAGGGTTTGAAACAAAGTCGAATGGAAGCAGCAGTGGAGAGAGAAACACATGCAAAATAACTGAATATCCGTCACTGTTCTGAAGGGTTGTAAGTATCGCAGTTCTGTGTGAAGTCAAGACACGCTGGTGTTTGACAGATTTGTTCAAAACTGCAGTTCGTTGTACAAGCTCTCAGCAAGTTTTGAATCCTGTGCAAAACCTGTGAGCTTTGGGACTCCCACCTACTCTTGAGGCTTTCTACAAAGAAAGTTCTGCCAGTGTTAATCCTTCTTTCAGTAGCAGACGTGGATTAGTGTTTTCCTGGCCAGAACAAAAGAAAAGTGTGTTAGTGCTCTGAGGAGAGGTTTCACTACAGCATCTCTACGTCAGGATTAAGAGCGCGTCTTACTCGGATTATGAAGAGTTACCATATTGGTTTATGGGCTATTTTGAAAATGCAAGGTTTTTAAGTGAAACACATTTTTTTCGTCTCCATCCGCCTTTTCAGAAGCAACGGTGTCTTTATACAGATGTGGGATATTAGGTTGTGTAGCTGAAATCTGTTTTCAGGACAAGATCAGCATTTCAGCTTCATACTGTCGAGCAATTTTGTTCTCATTACTTCAGTGACTATGCTTTTATTTGAAATTATTTTGTTTAGAATTTTGCAGTACATAGCTCAGTTCCTGATAGAACAAAGCTATATGGTCTTGGGGACTTTTGGTTTTTTTCCTGTGGCAACATGTCATTTCTGCACGGTTCAGTAATTCTTGTTTGCTTGTTTAAAAACAAAGCGCTCTGGCATACTAATTTTTGCTTCTTTTTTAAAGCCAGGTACAAATCTATACCACTGAGAGGTGTATGTCACTTATGCACTGATGGTTGATGGTGAAGATCAGAATTTTATCAAGATAATCAATATTTTCTTAACATCGAGCTGCCAGTGATAAAAAGTAAAGTAACTGGAGACTAGTAATTATATGTGTATTGAACTGAGCTATTTCTTGAAGATCTCTAGTCAAATGTATTTAGAAAGCACTGCAGCAATAAAGTATTTTCTACTTCCCCGACACAATCTTACGTCTTTTTAGCACATTTCACTTCTCATTTTAACACCTCTTGTCTCCCTCAGGTGTTTTTTTTGCCTGAATTAAAGTACCAGAACTAGCACCTCCAGTGTACTGCCCCTCCAGTGTCCTCCTTTAGGGAACAGCTGTGGCAGCCACGTGTTCTGCAGTGGCCAGTGGTGGTAACAGTCTGGAAAATGGTCTGCCACCGTATTAATAAGAGATGTATGCCTGATTAGAATCCTGAATATGGCAGAAATATATTCTGAATATATTCAGAAAGGCGCTTTTTTCTTTTCTGTTTCAAATGCTTGTTAATAAAGTTCTGCATTTCAAACTTTGAACTTAGGGCTGTAGTTTGCTTTGAGGTATTTTTTTTAAATCTTCTGTAGGCATCTGTTTATTGGATGAATGGCTGAAATAAACACACCAGAAAGTTTTGCTGTGTGGCCTTTTTTTCTGTGTTCTGTTACTAAAAATCAAATTAGAAAAAGCAGACTGTGCAAAGGTGATGGTAAGTATGGACTTAGATTTCAGCCCTTACTCTTGTGTAACAGAGGCCGCAGCCACAGAACTAGACAGTAACTCCATTCAAGCCAGAGGTTTGCTTTTCAGGAAAACCAGCCAGATATTGGCCTGAACTTTGCTGCATTCTGTTCCCTTGCCTATTGTGGTCAAGTGTCAGAAAATCAGTTTTCCCCACAAGTAATTGAGCAAAAAGAGACAGGCTTAACATCCCTAAGCCACTTGGATGGCTTTTCTCTTAATTGTCTAGCTGAAGTAAATGTGATTGCTTGCAGGGATGCAAAGCTTCCAAACTGGCTGCTCAGTGGCCGTTCATTGCTGAAAGGCGCAACTGTCATCTGCCTCCATCAGCTCGTCCTGTGTTCGTATCTGGCTCCCCGTGGCAGCACGTTCCCCTGTCCTGTGGTGCTGCTGTTCAGCCTCAAACTTCTTGCCACAGTTGTGTCCTCAGCCCCAGCACAGGACGTTCTTGTCTTTGTGTCTCTTCCCTCCGCTCTTTATGCTCCAACTGCATCATGCAACAACTTCAGGAAGTATATGGAATTTCTGCTAATAACTTCACTGACTGACTCATCTTATGGCAGTAAATAGGAAAACACCAGAGTTAAGCAGGTTATAGCTTCCCACAAACCAGGAGGACTTGAGGTCCAGTGAATCTGTCAGAGTACAAGCGGAGGAAGCATCTCCTCTATGCTGCTCTAAATACATGGCTGAAACAATGCCCTGGCAGTGGTTTCTCAGGGCCTCATCTGAACGGCTGATCCCATCCAATGAGAAAAGTGCCAAAGCACAAAAGCCAAATGTTACTCCGACCACTCCACCATGGAGTACCCGGCCACTGGTTCTCCACAGCTTCTACTGCCAAGTAGGTAATTTTGGCATCTAGCTAAATGGGAAAAGCCAGAACAGATGTAAAGTGGTTTTTAACAAAATCTTTTTTCCAGTAGGAAATGCTGACTTAGGAAGTTGAAAATATTACCAGGGAACACCGTTCATTTCAGGGCGCTGTCACCAGTATCAGAATACGTCAAAGCCAGATGCTTAGGGTGTTCCTTTGGCTTCCAATGGCTACTAGATCACACTAAACCCCACAATAATGTCCTTTTTCTGCTGGTTTTTTGGACACTCTTACAGCAAGGGGCACTGCAATCACCTCACAGCATGAAGGGTTTATAGGGATTGTTTGGCTCAGCACACAATGAAACATGGATGTTGAAAGTGATTTTTCTGCCAACACAGTAGAATTACTGCATTCCAGCCAGCCTGCAGGCATAAATACAAAAAGCATAGGAGCTGTAACAAGAGAATCTGCACATTTAAAGAACTTAAACTGCCTGTGAAAATTGGAAAGTAGCATGTATTGCTTGTGTGTGGAGAGCGTGTGAAGAACAGGGACACAGAGGTTTGCTTTTTTCTCTGCTTGTGCTCCTAGGATTCAGTGGTCCCGTGAGATGATTGCTGTTCCTCATCTGACAGCAAAGCTCACAATTCTGAAAACTGAGTCAGAACCACCAGTGGCTGAGTTGCTCTGCACGTGTTACAGAGGCTGATGTGACTACTGCCTCAGACCCTGCACCACCACAACCTCCTTTGCTGGAGCTGTGCGGCACGTGACGTTCCCGTAAGTTCCAACGGCTTTGGACGCTGTGAAAGGGGAGCGTGTCTTGTGTTTGTCCCAACTCCTATTCCTCAGCAGTCAGACAAGAACACCTGCCCACTCTTCTCCCCCAACCTCACTGCTCTGTGGGCTTTGCCACAGAAAGAGATGACTTGCAGTTCTGGGAATTCCTTTTAGCCTCAATTAAAATAGCATCGCTGTCTTCAACTTCGCAACCATCAAACAACACTTTGTTTAAAACCTCACTTCTGCAATTAACCTCACACTCCTACAAGAAAGAAACTTAAACCACACACCTACACACACAGCAGTCACAGAATTCAGTTGCTTTGTGCTGTGCTGTTAAAGCCTGTAACATGTTTTCAGCACATTTATAGTGGCTGTACTCAAGTTGCCTCAACTGAAGGCCAAGTGAAATAGCCATAGTACTTGAAATAAATACTTGAAATGTCCCTCAACTAATTGCTCAAGAACATATTTGTTGAATTCTTACATTAAAAAATATTTTCACAAAATCATAGAATGGCCTAGGCTGGAAGGGACCTTAGAGATCATCTAGTACAACCTCCCTGCCATGGGCAGGGACGCCACCTCTCGACTAGACCTGGCAACACCTGGGGACCGAGCGGGAATCGAACACGCGACCTCGGTGTTGGTCCTTGTTGCCAGCACCGCGCTCAAACTACAGAGCTAACTGGCCCCTATTTTGATCTATAGAACTCCATCATCCACACAAAAAAAAGAAAAAAGAGAGCGCTTATAACAATTGATATATAAAATATATTTTCAGGGCTTTTTTTTTGAACAAATAATGAAACAAAGCTTAATCACCACATTATCATAGTTTTATCACTTTCACATTTACAAATATACATGTTACTTACACTAACACTCAGAAAAATCCAGAACCTTTCAGAAAGGAGAAAATAAATCAGATATGAATTCAAGAACATATTGAATATATTAACAGTAACAAAATCATTAATACATTAGGTAAAAATTAAAGTTTGTTCCCAAGCCAGTGTTCATCTTTCTGCAATAATCTAGATCCTTCTTGTTTTGAGGTGCCTCAGGGGAAACTATGGCTGAACAAACAAAATGGATTTATGCAAGAATGATCTACGTAGACAGAACAGCTTCGAAAGAGAAATGACATCACACAGATGGAGGAGCAGGGAGCTCGTGAACACAACCAGGACAGCAGTGCAGGGAATCGTGAATAAACAAATCGCATTCCACGCAAAATGCATTCTGACACACCTTACACACGAAAACCTGTGTGGAAAAGATAGAGCATCAAGACAGATTAGAAAAAGACTCTGTATCCTATGTTGTCAACATCCCAGAAATCCAACCGAATCAGTTTCTAACAGCAGATGTGTCCCAAGGGCTGAGAACAGGTCATGGTAGGTGCTTCCACACGGCTAAGAGGGGAAGCTGACTGATGCAATTCTCTAGGAAATCCCTTCCCACACTTCTATACACTTGGCTGGCTAAAGCACATAGCTGTAGAATAGAAAACTCCACCATGAGATAAATACATACACATACTGTCATGGTCTTTAGAAGACTGCACTAAAGGATCACCTCTGCCTCTGACACCCCTCAGTGCAAATTCCAATGCTCTCCAACATACTCACATTTTGATCTTTCATTTCTCCCTGGCAGCCTTGACAACACCTAAAAAGCAAAATTGTGTATTTTAACTGAAAAAAAGGTCAAGATTGTATAAAACACCGTTTAAAAACCATAGTGAAGTAGTAACAATTCATGGCAATTATTTCAGCTATTCAAGCAAACACACAGGGTAACTGTTACTGGGAACTACAAGTATTTCTTACTGCCAGAGGTGCCCCAAAACATTCAGTAG